TTACAATTCAGAGTTCTGGGTATATACATTCCCCCCCATGTAACCCCTTTATATTACCTTAGGGTATGTACTAATGAAAATAAACCTTCAGCGTCAGTCCACATTTTTTTTCTTTTGCACTTGATGAGCCAATATGTTCCAGTTTGAGTCCAGCTGATGCTGATAATGGCTGACACAGCTTTTCCCATACATCCTTAACTGCAACTCTCTTACAAACCTCTGGAGCATGCCTTGTCATGTACCAGTCTCAGATCTTTAGTTTGTTAAAATGTGTGTCCTATACTCTCTCTATACTTTTCTACAGTCAATTTCTGTGGTTTTAGAGTATTTTAGTGTTAATACCTAAATAAAATTGTCATTAAGAACTGGGATTTGCGTATCGTACCTTGTCTGCATCCGTGCCCCCAATTTAACTCATAATCTTTGAACAATAATGTAATTTTCTTGCTCACCTACTATTCACGCTACGTGTAGTATCAACCAAAAATGTAAAGTGCCATGCTGCTGTTTAAAAAAACCCATTGCTCTGTGGTCCACGGCATAAGAGGTTAACAGCAATACAGGATTGCTTCTTATTGATATAACAGCAATACTTGATCTGAAGAGGAGTATCATGTTTACAGCTGGTCCGCCATTTACATCAAGTCTATAAAGAGAATTCAAATGATTACAAGCAGGACAGTTGCTTGAGTGTAATGTCATGAAATGAGATACCTGTTCAGAGAGACAACCTAGGATTAGTCCACAGCCTAAGGCTAATACCAATCTTCTTTCAACAGTACAAAACCACGTGTTTATAGTGCATACAAATGTGCTAAGCAGTTGCATTGCCTCAGGTTACTTCATAAACGTAGAGACAAAATAACCAGCCGTCTGATGCCAAAAAATTCAGATTCACTAGGCTCACAATCTACACTGCAGTCAGTTGTTTTTTATGTGTGTGTGTTTATCTACAATTCTAGTATCAGGATAAGACAAGAGTCTATTTGAAATGTTGCAGGGCATCTATAAAACATGATGTTGTACAGCAACATGGAAAAACCCTTTAGACACTGAGAATATAAAGAACATAGAGGAATGATAATTTTCTTGGAAAGAGAGAGACATTCTTGCATTTTTAAAGTGGCATTGAGTGATAGTTCTCCAGGCTTTCTAAAGGTCTTCCAAGGCCTTTTTTGGACACTGGTAGCTTTTTCACTCTTTGCTTATTTTCTTTTATTTGTTTATTTTTACACAGGACCTGAGAGACGCATCTGGCCCTGAAGATGATCCATGTACTGTTTACTGAAACCTCATCATATGACTCAGTATCACAGCAAAATGTGTAATAAACAAGCTGGTCCACTGTGTCCATTTGACGCTTTGCCTCTCCAAACCACACATGCTGAAATTACAAGCACGGCGAGATGATATATTCAAAGCCAGGAAGTCAGCAGTGAGCAAAAAAAATATTAAATGCACACCAGGGTCCTTAATCATCAGAATTGATTACGCTATGCGACTAACATGTATGCACATGTAAATGTGTTAATAATTTCTGCTTAAATGTGTTCCCCGTGATTATTTTTATGCTGGCTTGAAATAAAATATCCCCCTCGGCTGTTACTGCAACTTCTGCATGCGTGTACATTTCAAGTTTTGGAGAGCTAAAGCGTGAAATGGACACGGTGGACCGGCGTATCTATTACACGCTTTGTCATGATATCAAGTTAAATCAGATATGGTCTTGAGGTCTTGATTGTTACTAAAGGGAAACAGGGAGAAAAGGCTGGGGTGTGCCAGATTACACTAAACTACACCAGAAATCCCACCAACGGGTCTTCTGGGGTGATGAATGCAAATTTGAAAATTTTGGTTCAAACTATTAATATATACAGAGAGAGTCAGGAGACTATAATAGTGAGTGTCTGAGGCCATGTGTAAAACATAGTGGAGGATCTGTCATGATTTTGAGGTGCATTTCAGCCAGTGGTGAATTGATGGAATTTTGACACAGAGAAGTACCATCGGATTTGGATCCACCATGGAATACCATCTGCAGAGCATCTGACAACGGTAATAGTTTCATTTTTTAGCATGAAAATGATCCCAAACACAATACTAGCACAGTAAAAGCATATCTGGATGCAAAAACACACAATTGAACACTATTGACCATGAAGTCTCCCCAGAGCCCAAATACATAGAATGGAACAAAAGGCAACCAAAATCCAGGGAAAAGCTTTGGAATTTCCTTTAACAGTGTTAGATAATTATTCCTCAAGACTACTTAAATACATTAAAAGAAAGCCTGGCTAATAGTTCAGCAGACTCTATTGAAGAATAAGGGTGGTCATACCAAATCTTGACTTTCAAGCTCAGAATTGTAAAAACTCTGCTTTTGCCTTGTGTACTGTGTACCTTGGATGTTTACACTACATATGTTATGATACATAACTCCACTTATTTACAATTTTCCCAAAAGATATGATGAAATGAGGGGTTGCTCGAGACTTACGGACTGTAAGTCTTCTAAATAATGCGCAGTTTTTAACATTTCACACGTGGTGCTTAAATATACTATCCATGGGCTACATCACTTGTTATGCTTTATTCCCAGCTGATTTTGCTTGGCAAAC